GGAGAAGAGACCGACCCCCACCTCGCTACAACCTCCTTTCAGGTAGTTGTAGAGAGCGATGAGGTCTCCCCTCAGCCTCCTTTTCTCCAGCTGCGGCACAGCTGGGATGCACCGGGGTTTAATGCCACTCCACCAAGAGAAGATGAAAAGAAGTCACCCTTGGACTCACCACCTCAAAAGCAACAGATCATGAGCAGTCAGGGAGAAGGTGAAGAGTCAGGCAGGGTTTGTTACGGACAACGGCAGGATGATGAGTGTGGAAGAAATTAAAACTTTCCTGTATTTCTGTAGCCCCTGTTACCCCCCGTGGTGGACCAGGATCCTATCCTGTTGGGAAACGCAACACGGACCAAGAGCATAATTTCTCCCCAGGAGAGTTTACTAAGCACAAGGAGCAGAAGGCGGACATGGGGGTCACATCCTGCACAAAACAATCTAGTTTGGCCAGGTCTGCAATTTCTAAAAGAATTCACTGAGGATTTTGGCAAGGAGGCTTTTAGCTGAGGGTCAGGGCAGACATTGCATTAGGAAAGCTCTAGGCATTTGGAGTAGACAGAAATGGAGGAAAAAATCAGGTTGGAAGTGATCTCTGGAAGTTACCTCATTCAACTCTCGCTCAAAGCAGGGCTACCCTCAAAGCTAGATCAGGCTGCTCAAGGTCTCATCCAGTCAAATCTCAAAAATCTCCAAGGATAAGACTCCCATCTCTCTGGGGCCCAGCTCCAGTGCTAACGACACTCATGATAAACCTTTTTTTCCTTATGTCCAACTGGAATTTCCTCTGTTGGAATTTCTGCCTGCCACCTCTTACCCTTGTTCTCTGCACCCCTGAGCAGAGTTTGTGCTCCAGTCTGCGCTGCTACGGCATGTGCTACGTGCCCCTCAATGTCTCGCCCTCCTAATGATCCTCTGCTAGACTCTCTCCAGATCGTCAGGATCTCTCCTGTGCTGGTGGGGCCAAAACAGGACACGGTTCCCCAAATATAGCCTCGCAAGTACTGCATGGAGAGGAACAGCTGCTCCCCTTGACCCACCAGTGATGCTCTCGTTACTCCTGCTCTTTTGCGGCCAGCCTGCCTTGCCGTGTGGGAGGCACCCTGCCAACTCACATCATAATTAACAAATCCGTTTGCGGTATTGATTGAAAAGAAAGAAGACACCACCTGCATGAAGCTGCGATGGGTTTTGGTTATTGACTACGGAAATCGAGGACAAGCCACACCGAAGAGACGAGGACAGCACGGTGGAAAGAAGACAAATACCAAAGGACAAAGCAATCACCCAAGGGGATCAGTGCAAATGGGAGATCCAGGCAGCCTGCTGACACAAGGCTGCTGCGTGTCCTGGACCACCCGGCGCAAGGCAGGGAGACCCTGGGCGTGCAGCTGCCCAGCATCCCCGTGCAGGACACGAAGGTGTGCGCCCAATGCGCCTGCATGGCTCCCTGCTCCTGGCTGCGCTGCTCGTACTTGGGGGTGGGAGACTTCCCAGGGACGTGGGAAAGGCACGCACGGGAGGAAAATACCCCCTTTCTTCCCAAAGATCCTGGAGTTCGCTTCCAGCCCGGGGCTCTGCAAAGCTTGCAGGCCTGCCTTGCTAGGCGGGTACAGAGGCATGTGAACGTCCTGGTCTGCCTCCAGCTCGGCGGCGGGGTGAGTCGCTGCTCTCCAGACAGCGGGACAAAGGGCGGCAGCCTGCTCAAAAGTTTGCTCTCCTGGCACCGAGACATTTTCCAGCCCCGCTGGCCTTGCTAAAAGTGCAGGGGGCATGCCAACCCCCTCTGCCTTGGCTGGAGTTGGGATCAACAGACAACACGGCCTTTGCCCTACTAACGCCTTCGCTCATCCCCTCCCCCTCCTCTGGGGCAAAGGCTGTGCCAGCCCCGGGCTCTGCAGTGCAAAGGTACCGCCGCCTCCACCCCACACCAGAAATACTTTCTGTGTTTCTGCGGGCAACATGGAGAGCTCACCGGATCAGCTGGGTGCAGGCAAGCAGAGTTTTACAGCCTTGTCTCCGCAGTCTGCTCCACAGCCTTTGGTATACCACGGTGAAGGGATGAGCCAGACCCCCAAAGACCTGCAAGGCATCTTTACAGTTAGGTCTGGGAGGGGGCTGGAGAGGTAACTAATTTATTTCCATGCCCTATGGCAGGATCAGGACCCCGTAAAGAACCGCTGGCAGATGTCCGTCCGGTTTCTTTTTAAGGACTGCCTTCCCGGGCAATCCATTTAGTCTTTTATTTTACTTACAGTTCAAAAAAAGTCACCTGTGTGACTTAATTCTCCTTTGCTGCAATATAAAGGTATTACCTCCCGGATGGATTTAGAGACCAATTTATTGCCTTCCTCTTGTCAGTCAACCTTTTAGACACTTGAAGACTTCTCACACCCTCGCCCAGTCACCTTTCCTCTACAGAACCGGTTCATTTGGTCCCTCCCTGGAGATGTTGGTTTTCAGACCTTTGATCGTTCTTGCCGCCCACCTGGGAATCCCAAATGGCTCACGCGTTTCTTGCAATATCACGCCGAGCATGGTATTGACATTAGGAAGGCCTTGTCTGTAAGCAGAGTAGAAGATTACTTTGCACATCTCACGCAGAGCACTCTCCTGTTAACCGTTTCCATTACGAAATGTGTACGAGACCAGTAGTTCAGAAGGAAACTTGCTAAACCATTGCGAAATGCAATGCTTTATGCATTGTTCAGCGACATTTTGGAGCTTCCACGTTCGCAAAGCCCTTCCTGCAGGGGATAGGAGCTAACAGTAAGCTCGGTTTTAATGGTTATCCCGGCTCCATCCCTCCCCATCTCAGCTGGAGATGTTACCCTCACTCCCTGCCCCGAGCAGGCGTTTGTCGTTAGACAGCTGCAGCGATTTGCCCTACGACACTAAGACCCATCCAAATGAAAGGTTGTTTATAAGATACTAAAATGCAGGCGCACCCGTTCCTTTCACCGTAGCTGCGCCTACGCTGGGCAGAAGGCTCCAGCCCTCTCCGCTGGTACTCAAGGGCAACTGACGGCATTTCTCAAAATGTCATTTTGCTTCAGGGTGTGTCATGTGCAGTTTTACCAGGTACTCCCATATTTACTTCTTCACGTTTTTGCAGCTGAAATGGGGATTGTCAATGGGTCTGACGAATCTGGCTGCCACCTTGCTACTGCGAAAGGACAGCTCTATAACCCAAGGGCAAATATAGGCAATGTCTCTTTAATAGTATCATCCTTCATAAAATTCAGAGATGGGAGGGAGGATTCCTCCTTCAGCATCTCTTTTCCCCACCCTCTAAGTCACACACAGACACGGTGTCGCACTCATCTCAGTTTATTGCTTGTGTTCAAACAGCTGTCCTTATTCCAACTGCTGTATTAGAAACAGATACAAAAAAAAGGCACTAAAAGGATTTTC